TAATTATGTTACAGATATGTTCATGCGAAGAAAACACTATTAACAAAGAAATCCATTGTTTATATATTCATGTTTTTTGGATTCAGGAGCTGAAAAGTATTTATCAGCAAGGAAATAAAGATAAATTCTTCCATCACTATTTTCATCTTACTGGAATTTGAAATGAATCGAAGAAAAAAATATATATCTTCTCTTCTTGGGAACTATAAAGAACTCGATGGGTTTCGAAATATCGAACAATTTTATGAGTGGACAGTTTCCTCCTAATTGCCTTTCAAAAGATGAAAATCGAGTATTTCGAGTAATCAAGGGGTAACGTCTTAACAGTAGATATGTACAGTAATGCAGTCACCCTCAAGTGGATCATGGCTTCCTCTGTTAACCATTTTTGACAGGTCGAAAGGCTGAGTAACTGTTATATAGAATATATTTCCTCGATCTTAGAATCATTGGATACATTCATTTTCGGTTATTGATAGGAATTTATTTGAATAGAGCATCACATCTTACTTTCATCTAAGGAAATATTCCTCTATTTGCTTATAATGTCTTTACGATAATGTTAGTTGTAAGTAATTTTGTGTCACATCCATTAGCCCTTTAAACTCACTCGATATGAGTCTGATTTTAATTCAGATTTCATGTTACTCATATGGTCAGTTTAGACTGGAAAAAAGTCATTATTTGCTCTTGAAAGCGTTTTCTTTCTACAATACGTGACTCTTTTCACTTACTGGCATGCTTTAGTGGTTAGTAGGTAACGAAGAATGTAACTGATTTCTCTGTCAGCTTTTGAAAAGAATATTTTCTTGTTTGATAAATTTAGGCGTTTAGTAAACTAAGGAAGTACTATAACAGCTTTAAAATTCTCGTTTTCGATTATTGGTACTCAATTAATACTTTCGTGTTGAAATATCAGCATCCTGTAAATAGTCGTTGATACTACTTTCTTGGTAAACTGTTAGGTGAAATTCGAACCTTTGAAACGACATAGGTAATTTCTAACCTCAGGTCGTATGCATACGATGGGCAGTTATGAAATTTAAAACAGAAAATTAACAAATGAGCTGATTTGTTGAGCATATAACTGAAAACCTGAGGTTTTTTCTCACGTCTTTCTATTCATATATTAAGGAGTATCATGTTTAGATTCTTTAAAAACTATACTTCTAAAGAGTAAAGGACCTAGATATTAGAATATTCATAAAAAGTTGTCACTTAAGGTTTGATTTTTTCCTAGAGTGAGTTCCAGATGATAACAATCTCAGTGAAAAGCTAGAGAGATCCTCAAAAAGTGTTGCAGAGAATTCAGTCAAAGTGGATATCTACAGGTTTATGGTTTCATTATGATCGGCCCACTCGGTAGGGGTTCAGGTGCAAATGGCATTTGCTGAAGACACTGATTCCACCTTTATTGATTTGCCAACTCAAACTCATTTTCAGCCAGCAGTTTATTCTGGACATCCAGACAATCTGAAAGTGGGAGGACAATTTTTATGTATCTCTATGAACAAGGATTGTCTTGTGCGAAACCTCCATAGCTTCTTTTGTTTGATTTGTAGCTTGTTATAAACTATAATCTTATTGGTTTATTGAAGTGTTATTGCTCATAAAATCATTTTAAGAAATCACTATCGTTTCTGGTGTTATTGGTAATTAGATATACAGTTAGTGTTATAATTTTTAAAATACATGATAATTAAAACTATTTTGAGCTTGAATATCTATTTTGTTGATACCTATGAACTAGACTTCTTTCTTACTGAATGCTTAATAAAAGTCTTAGATGACGAGAGTAGCTTAAGTTCGCATACTGTATCTGTTAAAAGATAAACAAAGTTTAGGAAACGTTTGTGTTGTTGCTTGTATTATCACGTCGTTGATTGGACCAAACTGATCGGTCTGTATTGGCATATGAGCTCCTGTGCAGATACCTTGGTATTACCTGTGTTTTATTCTTATGTTAATGATAAAAAACTATAGCTTTCGCACAAGAAATGGTTATCGTGACTCAGTGGCCTAGTGGATAATGCTGTGGCGTTTCAGGCAGTCGGTCTTGAGTTTGAGTCCTAGCGGGAACAATCTTGCCCACCGAAGTTCAGGCACATCCAGCTGGCGAGTCCCAAATAGGATGAGACACGTGTCCTGGATACCACTGCCAGCTACCAAGATGAATGCAACATCATGAATATTTGGCAGTATCGAGGCATCTGTATAGGAGCCCATCTGCCAACATAGGTCAAGTAATTCGACCCTGGTTAGCAACGGGAAATTACAAGTGTCAATGAGCAGGAAGAGCTGAGAAGTTACACAACAGGGAAAAAATAGTTACTAATAAATGTACTCTGCATTCATAGCATGTTGTGTTGTTGACTCACACTAACTTCTAGGCAGTAAGTAGAAAATAACACATAGTACATCTAACTTTGATAAGGGTGCTGATTATTTTGCAACAACAAAAACTGTTATAATTATATTCATGCGAATCTTTTTTCTAAAATACCACTCTAAAGCATCATTCTAACGAAGGAATGAATCCAATTCAGCCCGTTGCTTTGGTGTAATTAGAAAATTTGCGCTTAAGGTGACTTTACTATTTGCGAAGAAGCAGTCGTGGTTCATTGGTCTAGCCTTTTTATCAACCTTCACTGAACCTCAGGCTTAAATCACATCATATGCACTTCAATATTTATTGTAGGGTAGTTTCATTGGCTGTTAGGTAAGCAGATGAGCCTCAACAACAGTCATCTCATACAGATCACACTCCTCGGATGAAATTAGGAGAGCACTCAACAAATGCAATATCAGTGCTCTACAGACTCAAATACATTGCAGATCATCTTAGTCTATCTGAAGGATGAGATCCTTATAGATTGCACAACCTGATTGAGTTTATAAAATAAAGTGAGAAGATTGTGATGCAACAGACAAACTTCATGTGAAATCAAACTTAGAAGAAATCAACACTAACCCCCTAGAAATCTAGTGGGACTGAAAGAAATTGGAGATACTTCAGCTACAGCCCCACTCGCTGCAATTTAAGGTCACAAGGTAGATTTTAACAGTACTGAAATTATTCAGAAAGGCTTTAGAAATTACAAAGAAAGTATTATAGCAAAAAATCTCCACATAAAGTGGAAACAAAGTTGTCTAGATAGGAATGAGGGTGCAAAACGTAGTTTGATCTGGTTTCAGTTCACCCCCAGATACTGACAAACCAACTTACATGCGATAAGAACTATCAACACATGTGTACATTCACTGTTCACATACGGTATAAAACATAAAGAATTATCTTTGCTTAACAAACTGACAACGCAGAATCATTCATGTAGAAGAACACCTATCATATATAAGCTTGGATATTGTAAATTCCGGTTTACTATAACTTTGATAAAGATATTAGGATTGAATAGCGAAACTTCAGTTTAAACAAATTTATTTTGTCTTACATTCATTGGTAAAATACAAATACCAAAATAATGGACTTACATTTCCCTTATTTAGGCATATCTATTTTACTCGTATTTTTGTACAAACCAATGCTTGTATACAAGTAAAAATTCTCTTACAAGAAGATTGATGAAGAGCGGTTTCCCTTAAAAACATTCTAATGCAAGCTTTTTGAAAAGAAAAGCTGTGAAACTGAGTTAAAATAAAACCTCGGGTGCAAATAGACTAAACCTTGGCTTAAGATCCGGAGTTCAACCCACTAATCCGCAAGATTCTTATCACTACTGCCTATTTGTTTCTTGTTGTTACTGGGTATCGTACCCGTCAGGTAAGAGCCTAGAATTGAAGTAGGTTTGTGTTTAGTCAAGGCAATCGGGAGACAACTGGTTTTCCTTTCACTTCCAATCAGCATTCCTGAAACTCAACCTGAAGTAGGTTGAGTCCATCATTTTGTTGGCATTACGTTAAAAACATCACTAAATATTTTTCACAAAATACTTTTCAGTAAACTGTGAACCACGAATTTAACAAGTTCAGCTTCTGAAAGTTAAACTGTTTCGGGTCAATAGTTCCCAAGAGTGCACACAAACGTCTTTGAAGAACCACTGATAAAAGAAATATCCCAAGGCATATTTCACTAAGAAATGTTTGAGATTATCTTCAAGATTAGGGAGCACTGTTTGTTTGGATTTTAAAGCAAATATAGATTTGATTATTTATGTTCAGTGACCAAATAAACCATGAACTACCTATTTTTATATCAAGTTATTGCATTTATTTCACTGCCATAACTGCGCATCGAAAAATTCTGTTTGACATATTAGCTCTTGACCTGTTTAAGTAGGAATTTCTTCTTGGAGTGGTAGCGACAGATAAGGAGATAAAACTGGAAGGCTGCTTGGTACAATTATACAGAGTTATCGAATTTCGAAGGTTCTGATAGCTATATTTCACTTTTAGAATTCTGGTATTACATGAAGGTTACACTTTCGATCAACGTTGAAAAACACTGTGCACCGTTGGAGAATTCCGTACCAGAATTGTATTGTTGTTAGTTTCTTGTGGTTATCCAGCTGGTTTCATTTCAAGACGAGAACTACTTCTAAACGAATCAACTGCATTAACATCATATGCTTCAATGATAATTCTTGTTTATTTGAAGTAATTATCTCACCGGGGGATATTAAAAATGTTCTACAAAATTAGGCATTATAAGTATGGGCATAAGAAGAAAGAAAATGAAAATTACGTTTTACATCATTCATGTGACGATTACTGTAGCTTCAAAAATATTATCATATCTCATTCATCATACTCAGGCAAACACAATCCTTTTACACACAAACAGATTTGCCCTATTTATAGCAAAATTACACAATTATATTTATATCTATGTACATTAAAACAGTTTTGGCTGCTTCATGTAGTATTGTAAAATGTCTAATATCGAGGATGATTGTTCTTTATTGGTTTGCATATAATTTAATGCTTAAAGAAAAATTCATCTACTTACTTTTATTTCTAATACTGTAACCTATATAAATTTAGTTCTAAGCAACTGGTTGGTGAAAATTAAGATCAATATTTCAGAATTCAAATAAAAAGGATGCTTCTTCAGCATCCTTCGAGGAACGAAGATGAATTCATATTCTCTGCAGTAATCAACCTGCATACATCTATATCATTGCTGTAGTTAACGTGAATCAAAATCCTTTTATCAGAAAGATAGTGCATTAGGAATATATATATATGTTGGAATTTTAAAACTATGCACTGGTCATAATTCAGTTAACGCAATACAAAACAAACAAGATCTTTCTCTTTTCATCAAAATCTTCATAAGGTAAACCACTCTGCTGTTTGTGTGACTGATTACTGATTTGATTTTTTCTACATCCTACTTATTCAATAACTTCCTTGATTCCAACAGACACTTAGCAAAGATCCCGCTGCATCACACAGTGATAATTTCATTATCGTTATTATGAGGCCAAACAATAATCTTAAAAGATAATAGTGCTCCTAGTTGAGAAGTAGAATTAAATGGTTGGTTTTCTGTAAGAAACTAGCCCAATTTTTAGTATACTGCGAAATACGTTTCGAATGGACTAGAATAGATCACTGTAATCCTAAGCCAGTGCTGGGCACATCTTAGCTGAACTTTTCCTTTGCTATAAAGTGTTGCAAATGATAGTTCAGTCAGATTACCAACTGGTAATGCCAATGCAACGCCAAACAGCCGAACCGGATGTTCTGAAGTTATTAGGTTTATAGCTATTTTCAATTTTCATAATTAACACCCTCAAACGACCTAACGCTCAAATAATTAAACTTCATGAATTTAATTTCGATGACAAGTTAGAGCTTTTATCTCTTGATAACTTCTTGGGATTTGTAAATCTTGGTCTTATATTCTTATTTGATGAACTGTTTATTTCATCTACGCTGGAAATCGACGTCTTTGGGGGTGATATTTTCTTTCCAGTTTTCTGGGATTCACTTTAATACCATTAACTGACTTGTAGTTTACAGGAGTTCACTATTCATATTAGATTTGCTTATTTCATGTATAGTGTACAGTGATGCAGTATTATTTACTTGATGACGTTTCGAGAGTAAATTATTTCTCATAATCATATCAATGTAAATAAATAAATAAATAGGTATTTTATTTTCATATTAGTAATTTAACATGAGAGAAGCCAGTTGACAGGCATCATCACATTGATATGTTCGAAAATGTACAAGATTTTACGGGCCCTAAATGGTACGGAAGAAAGGTCATTAAATTCGATTAAAAACATCAGAACATTCAGCAAGTTATGAAATGGACAAGAAAATACCACTTTTCAGCATATACAGAGTGTTAAAGTTCAGACCGTTTTCAGTCATACTTTTTTTTTCACCAGTAGTGGCACTAAGGTCGCGTAAAATTCCCAATTTCCATTGTAACTATACTCCTCTCGATAACTGATTTTTATAGTCCTGTCACCTCACTACCACTTCACTACCAATAAAAACAAAGTGCATAATTACACTGATATAATTATGAGCAATAATTTATGCTTGAAACGTCAAGTAAATAATACTGTATCACTGTGCGCTATATATCAAATAAACAAATCTAATATGGAATACAATTCTACCATAGCACTTAAGTTTGCACTAATATTAATGAGTTCACTTTTCTCCAAACAAAGCGATGAGAGATGTAACTAGTATTGTGCATATGCGACCGAACATTAAAATAAGTGTCATTTAGCTGGCAAAAGATGATTGGGACAAATTTTAATGTCACTCAGATCACTATCTAAACACAGACTTAGTTTATTGAAAAAGCTCTGGATATGCGTGAATTTCACCTATCAAGGGACTTACTTTTTGTCATTAACCAAATTAAAAGTTTGGTATAGGAAGTCTCTCTACTTAATTTAATCAACTGTGTCGAACTGCATCGAAAACGTTGATAAAGGTACTGGTAAAATAATCAAAAGGAGATAATCTTTCTTGTTTTCTTTTGGTTAGATATAGAAGTCTTAACGTTTACCTTTTTATTTGAAACCTAATAAGAGAATGTAGCTTTTAACTTGTTTCACTCATTCATTTGGAATCGACAAAATTATGTGACTTATAGCTGTCTAGTTTACTTGTTATCTTACTGCTCTACTTGATTGTTTTTAAAATGATTTACACTTTAGTTGTGCACCTAACAGGAACTAGTTGCCACAGAGAGGAATGTTTCTAGCATATTTTGATTCCGCTTATCAAGCAAGATATTAATTACGAGAAATGATTAATTATTATATCAAGTAACTACTAATTACTAAGGTTGTTTGCATGTAAGTGCAGGTGATTCTTTGTTGGTACGAACATGACTTATTTCATGGATGCTGCTAGCAAGTTTTAGTGATCAACATCTCACTAAAAAGCATATTATGGTATTGAATGGGATGCAATGATTCTTGTTTCTCCTAAACAGCAGTCAAAAAAATGTTCAGCTTGTTTCATGGCGAGAACGGTAAGCATTTAAGGGGATTAAACTTGCATAAACCTCTTTTCTGTTCAACTACAGTGAAATACTGGCTACCTAGAAATGGTTCTTTTAGTGTTTAGTGTTCTTCAAAAGATTTTATTGATAAACCACTGTTTACCTGTATGAAGGAAACACAGTAAGTAACACAGTACAGAAATGTATTCAAATCGTCACACTTCAAGAGATAAATAATATTATATATTAGTGGAGCTTGATGAGATCCTAATTTTTACTTAAATCAAACTAATGTTTGAATAAAGGACTGTATTTATTAATTATCATAAATAGACTGAGGATATAAAATTAAGTTGGAAAATTTTCATTTATTATTTCTAGCCTAATGCTAAGCGTTGTATGGAATAATTATCCACAATTTAGTGTCTGAAAGACAGGAGTTTCACAAGCTACTTATTTTTAAACTTTTTAGATATATTTTTGGGTGATATTAAATTTCACGAAAGGATCGTTGTCTTTACTAGTAAAGGTTAGATGAGATTAAAATACTTTTTATTGTGGCAGCATGCGACAGTCATAAAGTTACATTATTTACTCGGTTACCATGACAACACCTTATTTACAGCAAAAAAGTTTATTATTTGCACTCTACACGCGGTATCCAAACACACTGAAGCAAAAATATAAAATATTCATTGTTTTAAGACCAAACAAATACTGAGGTTTATAGTTCCAATGGTTGAATTACTTTATATTAATTATTCAACGACAGATATGTTCAGTTGGTTGAGGAATAACACTGGTAACTTTATATACATATGTCTGAAGGTTAAATATAGTTCAGAAAGACCTATGCCTACCATCTTGTTTTAATTAGTCGTCTCACTCTATTCATTAAATTTTCCACTGTCGCCTCTTTCTCCTTACTGCATAGTTTCTTGTAGAAAGACATAAATAAGGTGCAAGCAAACAGAGAGAAAGAACATTATTGCAATAAGAATTCCTTATGTTACCTGAGGTATAATCATTAGAGAGTCAAGTTATCACCAGCAGGTGAGTATGTTACTGACATTATTTTACCTAACAAGTTGTCGCAATTTACTTGATTATTTGAAGTGGTTTACAAAAAGAATGTGTGCTTTTATGCCTGTATTTCTTTTGATTTAGAGACATATGACTACGTGGCTCAAAAATCTCATTAGAATGCTGATACACAACTACAAGAAATCAGGTAGTTTTCAGATGTCACAGACCTGTTAAGACTAGCAGTGTTCGCTCATATTTTGAATGAATAGACCTCTATCAAAAAAGTTCAGTCAACTAGTCCATTTCTCGATATTGTGAATAGTCTATCCATAGTTATCAACACAATTAAGCAGCCATAATATGTCAAGGGGTTATTGCATATGACCAACAACTCCCTTAATCTATTTTCATCATTTTCATATTTATATTTTAGAGACTTGATGATTTTTATGTTGAAGTTCATTAACTTAAGCTCATTTTTGGATGTGTGAGGGATACATCTATTTATTTGGTCTACCATAGCACTTCTTGACAAAAGTCAAGGCAAAGATGTTCCTTGAAAAGTAATTTCGTAAATACTACTACCTTCTACATTTCTCATCTAAATAGTCATATGGTGTACCAAACGACACTTCTAATTAGCTTTGCTCGTAGCTCACCCAACAAATGCCACTTTTATTCAACTATTATTATATCTAGGTAAAATGTTGAAACATTGAGTCCCTGCCATATTAACTTGTTTCCCTTACCTAAGTTGTGATATATATATATATATATATATATATATATATATATATATATATATATATGCTGAACTCTTGAAATGTTGCAAAGTAATCAGCATAAATTTCATTTTATCTTCACATTTTTGTTTTACACTTACAGCTTTAGATTACCCATTGTCTAAATGGGAATGTTCATTTCAGACCACTTGAGCATAGTTAAGTACTCATTCGTAAACATTATCTTGGAAAGAGGTTTTTAACAGTAAGTAGTTTCCGAATACTCTTGAATGGATAACTACAAAATAAAGACCATTGGCTGTGGTCTTTTAATCGACACTTCAAGCCAGTATATTCCAGCGAATATTCTGTTGACACTACTCCGAAATGGTTAATTAACTACTCAGCGATGAGAAAGTTTAACGTGGAACATATGGTCTATTGGGAGTTGGTAAACCTTGATACCACTTCGATATGTTTAAGCTGTCCTAACACATCTTTTTGTCATGTTAAATTGTGTTATTTCAATAAATGCGTACTTTCTTACTGTAATCCTTTTCGGCAAATATAACATTTCTTTAAACATGGTGGATGACTGACTGCTATGATGTATAATATCCTAATGAGTTATTCAAGTAATGAATATTTATATGCTTTAATGTCAAACGGTAAACATGAAATGCAATAAGTGTGATATCTGAGGAGTCTGTTGTTCGGTAATTTCGACGTGTTTATGGTTGAGAGTTAAGTCACCAATTGTTGAAACACTTTTACATGAAACACTAAAATATTCAGAAAAAAATTTACGATACTCAAAACAAACAGTGACGGGTAGTATGGAAAAGCACTCTCATTTTAATAACTGAATTATTTAATGTTTAAAAGTGCAACACTACTAGCTTTAGGCATTTTATCATTACAGATAAATTAAAATTTTGACAGTTGCCTCGTATCAAAAGTCCAGTAATAAAACTTTAAGACTTTTAAATTTATGAAAATGCAGACCTTATATGAACACTAATGCTTATACTAAAATTCACCAGGTATTCATTAATACTTCCTATTCTTGGTCTGCATGTGAGCTGATTTGTAGATTTTACATACTTG